TTACTTTTCTCTTGTTGCTGAGACAGAATACCTAACACCCAGAATTAAGGAAGGAAAGGTTTACTTAGCTCACAGTTCATGGAGGTTTCAGTCCATACTCAGCTGGCTTCAAGGCAGGGTGGCACATGGCAGAGGACAACAGTTCCTGGTGGCGGAAGATAGCAAAGCAATAAGAGCAAAAGGGAGGAGCCACAGCAAGCAGCCTCTTTCCTTCCCTTATATTGTATGCTGGCTGCCCATCCTGCTACACTCAGTGCATGGTGGACATAGCACTCATGCCCATAATCCCATTGGACCATGTGTGTAGCATTCACACCCATAACCCCACTGGATCGTGGGTCAATCAAAAACTCTAGAAGCCTGCCCCGTGACTGCATGAGGCTTTGGGGGACATCTAGACACAAACCATAACACCTCTGTTTCCTCATCGATAAGGTAGGACTTAAAAGTATGCTACCTACCTCACAAGAACCCAGGAGGTAAGCCAGGCATGGTGGCACACACCTATGATCCCAGCACTTGGAGGCTGAGGCAGGAGGATTACTGAGAATTTAAAGCCAGCCTGAACTGCATAGTGAAACCCTGTCTAAAAAAAAAAAAGCCAGCAGATGCTAAGTACTCAATAAGAGTTCTTCTCTGTCCTTTGGTTCATAGGGAAGCCACATTATCTGCTGTAACTGTGCACAACTTTTTTAAAAACCTTTTCTTTATTTTTCAGTACTGGAGATTGAACCAAGGGTATAACCTCCTAAATTTCCACTAATATCACATTAAACTATGAATTCATAAATGGACTAATCCATTTATGAGATCAGAGTTCTCATGATCCAAGCACCTTTCAATGGCCTCACCTGTGAACACCACTGCAATAGGGACCAAACCCCGAGCATTTGGGAGACATTATCCACCCAAACCATAACAGACAACAGCTCTCCCTCTCCCGCTATCAGCTGCGAGCCAGTAGCAGGTATATGCCAGGGAGGAGCAGAAATCTGAACATTAAACAGAGTGGGTTTCAAGTCTCATTAGACTAGACTTTCTGTCAGTGGACTATGACTTAGAGGGGGATGGTACTGTCTCTCACCTGAGAGTGAACAGAAAAGTTCCAGGACTGCTGAAATTTTCATCTGACCAAGGAAAAATGATCCTGATTGTAGAAATGTCAAAGGGACAGTGGGAACGAACATATAAAGTTATATTTTAATTCATCAGGAGTTGAGCATTCAAAATATCCAGCACCCTACACACATACCTCTGGCTTTGCTGGCTCTGTAGCTCCATAGTGATACAAGCTCCAGACCAGCTTGTGTCACAGCCTGCACCTGCTGCAGAACCACCCCCTCTTGCTCTAGGCACCATCAAACTGGGCTACTTTCCAAGTCATTGGCAAATGAGTTAGAGCACTATTCCCAGGTGCAGCGTATATACTGCCTCCAAAATCCAAAGAGGTCCACCGAGCCCCCGCCTCCCTTCTCCCTGGTCGGGGACATGCTCAAAATGCCATACCCTCTCCTTCATTTGGAACGAGAGGCTAAGCCCCAGACAGGACCCTTGGGAATGTGATTGGCGTGGCAGGTCCCAAATCTGCGTGGGACTTCTTTCGCATCGTCTCATGCTTGAGTGCCTTATTAGGCATCAAGAGTACCTGCCACTTCCTACGGTGCAGATCTGATTAGCATAATTCTATTGATAAAACAGGAGCAGTAGGTCACTGTGGAGTGTCAGGGAGCTCAGGGAGCCCATGAATTATATAATATGATGTGAAGCTGGAGAGTTAACACAGTCCTTAAGCTAGACAGTGACTAGATCCCTCTGTCTTTCCCATGTGAAAGTGGCTTGTTTTTGATCCTTCTGTTGATGTGATTTGAGAAAAATATATTAATTCCATTATAATAATACTAGCTATTAGAATTGCAAAGAAAGCACTATCAACTGTATTTACTTTCCATCACTGTGACAAATTGCATGATATAATCAACTTATAAGAGAGAAAGGTTTAGCCAGGCATGGTGATGCATGCCTGTAATCCCAGCACTCGGGAGGCTGAGGCAGGAGGATTGTTGTGAGTTTGAGACCAGCCTGGGCTACAAAGTGAGCTCAAGGTCAGCCTGAACTGCATAGTGAGACCCTGTCTCAAAAAGAAAAAAAAAAAAAAAAAAGAAAAGAAAAGAAAGAACGGTTTATACTCATAAGTGAAATAAATCAGACACACATGTGTAAATACCACAGTGTTTCTCTGGTATAATAAACTGAACGTATAAATAAGGACCAAAATGTATAAGAGATACTGGTAAATGGGAAGAAAATGTTCAAATGAACAAGACAGGCGGAGGAGGCAGGAAAGAAGGGACAAGGGAAAAAAGACAGTAGAAGCAAAAACTGGAAACAGGTTTTGTAAACAAGGAGGGGAAGAGTGGTTGAAGGGAGGGGAGGGGAATAGAAAAAAGAAAGAGCAAGATATATCATGTACAGGTACAAATCCCCTATGAAGAATGTTACAGTTATATGTATCTAAAATGTATCAATCAAATAAAGAAATCTAAAAAAATACATGATACACACCATGAGGGAAAAAAGAAGGACAGGTTTGTTTGGGCTCTTGTTCTCAGGCGTGGCTGTGGGTCACCTGGTCCCGTCACCTGCGGACCTATGGCAGGACAGTATACTGTGGCACTGCGTGTGTGGTGGAGGAACCTGCTCACCTCACTGTAGCCAGGAAGCAAAACCAGAGAGAAAGGGGGCTGGGTCCCCGCACTGCTTCCACTTGCAGTGACAGCTAACTGGTGCCTCCTACTTCTTCCATTTCTGATCGGTTCCATCGCCCAATAACAGCGCAGGCCGGGGACCAACCATTAGCACATGGCCTCTGGGGGACACTGCAGATCCAAGTCGTGACACCAATTAAAGCGAGCTATTTCTGACCCTCCCTATCAACGAGAATTGAGAAGAATACATTGTCTGAGCGACAGAGGCTGTTTTACCTGCTCTAATCGTGATCAGTATAGTAGCAGTGACAGGTTAGGTTTATAGTTCATCACCATCACCCACCATAGCCCACCTGACCCTTGCAGGGATCCGATAAGTGAGTCCACGGAGATTTAACTGGAACCACCACTACCTAGGCATCCTTCAGTACTCGCTGATGGTTTTTCTCTGTAACTGGTTGTAGGGCGCAGCATCGTTTCTGACTCACTATCTTGGTTGGGGTTGGACTGTTTTAAGTGCTTCCATTTGGCTTTTCCCATCAAAACTATCTTTCTTCACTGGTCATGGAATAAACGTGAAGGCTGTGCGTCTTCTCAACATCTGTCCCATGTATACATTCAGGGATGGGGGGCTATGACTATAGCATACCATTGGGCCCACTGTGAGGCAGACTTGGGCCAGAAATTATTAATTTTGATTTTTATCTCCTGTAGTGTACCTCGTTGGTCTCTCGTTGTACCCCGGAGAGAAACGGCGGTGGGTATGAGAAAAATAAAGACAAGCGACAAGAGCTGGGGTCAGGTGGAGTTACCTCTTGCCTGCTGAGCAGGAGGACGGACGTCAACAGCAGGGGCATTTGTTTTATACACTTGCACAGTCAGTATCATGGGGGGGGTAATGTTGCCTAGCAACTAATGACTGGAATTGTCCGGGAGGATGCCTTTTTCAATACTGAGGTAGCTTGACTGCTTGAGCAATAACCAGCTCCAGTGGCTCCCAACAATCTCCTGGTCTCTAATCACCAGGACAGTGTTTCAGGTACCCTAGTATCACGTCATCTCACATCCATAGTGTTAATGGGGACCTTGGAATTCAACAGTCCTCAAAGGAGCTGAGAATTCCCTTCCACGTCCTGTACACTGACACTTTAGGAAAACGTTGGGGAAGTGTCTCTTGAATGTGTGTGATGGTAAGGCAGGGCTTCTGCTTCAGGGCCCTCAGCATCACTGAATGAGCTCGAGGTCTGCCAAGTCGATGAGGACCTTGCTACCCATGATGCAGTTATGCCCTTTGCGCCTCCACCAGGCCTGTGCAATGCCACAATCCCCAGTGGTACTGAGGATCCTTCATTCTGTGGCGGCTTCTCCCACCAACCCAGGCTGCAGAGGAAGCCAGCAAGCGCTCTCCAAGGTGCTGGTGTCCCCTTACCGTACACTACTATCCCCTGAGCAAAAATACATCTGGACTCCTGACGACAGAGTCAGACCCTGGGTCCTCCAATCTTACTTGACAAATCTTCCCAAAATCTTTCAACTACTTCCTTACCCTGGGGCAATTCTGTGTTACAGGAGCATCGTGGCGGGTGTATAATACCCACATTTATTCTTTAGAAGATTACTATTGATGAGTTATTAATATAATTTTTATAAGTTTTATTATGTTAAACAATGTTTTCAAAAGGAAAAAATATCAAAAAATAAAGTATTAAATTTTTAATATTTATTGAATGTTTATTAAAAAACATCAAAATTTTCAACATGGACTATTTTTTGGTTTACAAAGTCAAAAAAATAACAATAGAAATAAATTCCTATCTGAACTGCAATGAAAATACCAATAGAAACCTACAACAAAAATAATCTTCAATTATCACACCCAAGGCAATCTTCACACATGCCAACAGTACATTCCATATATGCATATCACTCACACTGAGAACACATATGTTTTGCTTTCTTTTGCTGTGTAGTGGCCCATTCTTTTTTTTTTTTTTTTGGTCTTATTGAGACGGGGTCTCACTCTGCAGCTCAGGCTGGCCTTGACCTCACTTTGTAGCCCAGGCTAGTCTTGAACTCACAGTGATCCTCCTGCCTCAGCCTCCTGAGTGCTGGGATTACAGGCATGTACCAGCACGCCTGGCTCTTTTTCTGTGTGGCAGGCCATTCTTGTCACCTCTACTGTCTTCCTCTTTTGTCAGGCACTTCTCACTATATTGAACAATCTATACTTAGCAAGAAAATAAGATACCAATAAAACAACAATTATGTAATGAGTGCTTAGAATAGACATCAACATTTTCACATCAGCTGTTTACTTGCTTAAAAACCCTAAAAGGTAACATCAGAAATAACAAGTTATGTGAAGTACAATGTAAATACAAACAGAAGTCTACCAGATAAACAATCTTTGCTTTAGCTGTCACACCCAAGGCAATCTTCACACAAGAAAACTGCATGTTCCATGCACAAGTATCACTTACAGTGATAGCACGTATGTTTGGCACAGTTGACATCTTTTTGGTTTTCCTGTTGTCATAGTAGGTCTTTGTTCATCTGTCCATCACCAGTATGCTCTATAATTTTTTGTGTAGTACCTGGGCAGAAATACTTTGTTCTTCCTCTGTTGTAAATGATCTGTTACAAGTGCCAGTTCCAATCCTCTAAGAAAATTTCTCCATGATATTTTGTATTTGTTATTTTCTTTGTAAACTATCAAACTGTTTATGCCACACATTTAGGATCAAGTAAGACACAACCATCAGCCAACACTTTGTGTTTCAAGTGACAACATGGCCGCTCCATAACTCGTCAACAACACCTACTCCACCTTTCATTTTGTTGTAAAAAGCTACCATCTGAGCCAGGCATGGTGGCACTTGCCTGTGATCCCAGCACTAGGGAGGCTGAGGCAGGATGATCACTGGAGTTCAAGACTACTTTGGGTTACATAGGAAGTTTAAAGCCAGCCTGGACTACATGCAAAAAAAAAAAAAGCTACCATCTCAGACTTCAATTTCACTGAGGTTTTAGTACAGTTAGAAACAAAGCTAAGTCACGCTCTTCATTCGACTGTAAATGCCACACCACCCAAAGGCAGGGAAGCGGTGTGAGCCACCTCCCTTTTCTTCGTTCAGCTATAAACACGACACCACCCTGGTGGTTATTCGGGTGTAACCTTAGGAGGTCGCACAGATTGCTGACAACTGTAAAGATAGACTTTAGGCATCATTTTAGCCCACCCAACTGTAGCAGTTTCTTGGTCAGTTTTTCCATGGAGATACACTGTTGACATCAGCAGCACCAGTTTGCTTTTCTTTGCCATATACGAAGCCAATATTACCTCTTTCTGCAGTCCAAAGATTGTATTATACAATTCTGTTTTGAAATTACAACATTTCATTAAATTTCTGCTTTGTTCTTGCATACAGTTCCCACGCTGGGCAACTTGTTCTCTGTTAGCAAGTGTAACATCAACCAGACACTGGTAAACTAAGTGTTGGCTGTCACTTTCTGATTAGTCTGGGGGTAGGGACAGGAAGTCTGTTCGCAACATCGCTCGGTTTATTACTGGTATAGGGGAAGTCCTAGATATCGCATATCCAAGTTCACGCTCCCTGAAGTGGAAGAATGAATTCTGGGGAACAACAGAGGTTAAGAGTAGGAAAATTTACTGATGAAAAGGGATGAGGAACAGGAATGGGGAACAGAATAGCTCCTGAGAGACAAGAGGGGTCCCGAATGGGTTGCCAATGAGCCCACTTCCCAAAAGAAGTTTTTATAGAGCAAAATCACAAGGCGGGTACAACATGGCACAAAATTATGATCAACCAGTAAGATTACAAGTACACTCACTTAGAAATATTGATCCAATTGTAGCAAGAGTATTTGGATGATATCATTAACTTGGTCAATAATCTATAGTCTTAGTCTTAGTCTTAGTTTTAGTAAGTGGGAGAGGTCAGCCCATGCCTAAGGAAATAATAGTTTAACTTGGGAAATCTCAAGAGGTGGTACCAATAATCTCAAACTTTATCCCCTTAGGGAAGTATGTAAATCTGTCCATTGTGACTTTAATCTTCTTCAGATGCGCCTCCAGAGACACTTTCGATGTGTTCTCATCTTTTGCAACTGACTCCCTCAAGGGCCTAACCCTGTCAGACTGCCTATAATATTTCTATCTAATTTAGCTGTCTATAACATTACCATGCAAATAAATACCTGGTGGCTAGGTTCCAAGACAAATTTCTAAATTGAAAGTATAATATGTCTTTGCAGTTACCAGGGCATACATGTTTACACCATATTTTGAAGGCTTTTTCCTCTTTGCATATGCTGCCTACAGCTACATTGACCAGGAACTACAACATCAATACTCATGTATTCAGATGATGTGTAAGTTCCTTGGCAGTTAGCCACAAATCTCTCAAACACTGAATGGACAGCAACCAGATTATCAATTGTTTTTCTTTATGGTGGGTGGTTTTGTCATCAACCTCAGGCAGCTTTGAAGGAAACAAAATCTCAGTGTCATTGTTCATCTACAAACCTAAGGCCACATTCATCACTTCTCCATAAGTCTTTTATATTCCTGTGATCACAATGAGAAAGCCCTGATAAGTACAGCAGATAGGAATGCTTCAGTTCAGTTAGGGAGGTGTCATAATGAACACATTTTTAGTATGGCTATCAGTGCATACAGATCGATTTACTTGTACTTCATCATTTGTGTGTTTCACAACATCTTGTAGCATTTTGTTGGTTACAATTTCCAACACTGAATGTCAGTGCTGGCATTCCATCCAACCCCTGCCAAGATCCTCACTATATTTTTGGATGAAGATCTAACACTGGATCATTCCACTTGGTTGTGTGACCATTTCATAACATTTTGACTAGTCAAATATGTACTCACATTGCTGTTTTCTTCATCATTTGAATCAAGGAAGTCTGCAGTCCCTGTGTCTGTATCGGTTGATTCTTGCTCCATTTCACTGCCACAGGAACTTTGGCTCTCATGGGCAGTGTCAAAGTCATCATCATCATCATCACCATCACCATCACCATCATAATCCGTGCATGAATCACCTAATGATTCACTTTCAACCTCCAAAACTTGCAAATCTGGTTTTTCATCTGTCATTGTATTGAACTGAGCTACTTCTATCAGAAAAATCAAAAGAAAACTTTAAAAAAACAAATCCTAAATTCACATAAGTTCAACAATGAGCATTTCATGGGTAAAGCTCACCTGTTGCTGCTTTGGAGCTCCTGTACACACCTTGCCATTTGTCGGCCAAGTGGATGAATGCACAGATGGGTTCCTGGTTTCCCTAGGCACAGCTACTGTGAGCCACACCCACATTCCATCATGGCAAAGTACATGTTTACATAATAGAAGAATGGTGTGGATGTATTTTACTCCCCATGACGTCCATGATCAGGCATGGAAACATACACAAGAATGTTACACTGAGTGTTACATGGCTAAAAATCCCAGTTTGACTCTTTTGTACATGTGCACACAGCTTGCCATTTGTTGTACCAAGTGGATAAACACAAAGCTTGCTTCCTGGATCCCTCAGGCACACCTACTGAGACCTCACAACCAGCTACTGTAATACTAAAGTGCAAACTTACATTAGAGAAGTATGATATGTGTATATTTAACCCACCATGATGCCCCATTTTTTGACAAGGCAGTTCTAAAACCTCCACCTCATTTACTTTGGGTTAATACCACACGTAAGCTTTGAGGAACAAAACTAGCAGTATATAAAGACACATTCCAGGTCTTAAAGCCAGTGCTGACCCTCAACTCACAGGCAAGTGCTTTCACACACAAAAGCTCTCTTTGCCAGACTTTGGCATCACACCTTCAAGACCCAGCCACTCCTGTATGCCTTCCCCTGATTCTTGATAATCTATGTCAGATTGTTTTTCTTTTAACAAATAAGCTATTTTCTTCTGGAGCAGGAAGTCTACTTCTCCAAATGAGGTGTACCAACATGTGACCTTGCTTATCTTCCTGGAGCTGAGTGTAGCAGATGCGGCTCTTGAGGATAAATATCATGATGAAGGTTGCACTGTTTCAAGTGCGATCTTTGCAGGTCTCCAAGCAAAAGGAGGCTAATCTCCTCTAGTAAAGGATAGTAAAGCCTACCTCCATCCCAGTTAGTCAAAGGAGGTCCTAAATGCATCAACTCTCTGAATTTCCAGGCTGCATATAGGTGCCAAGGAGTGGCCTTGGATGCCCCAAAGGATGGGAAGTGGGAGGAACAGGCACGGACCTGTGAGGAGACACTGCCAAGCTGCACCTGTGTGGAGGGGCTCCTGCATGCCAGGTAGTCATGTGATAAAGCTGGAGCCAGAGGGTCACCAGCAGAGCCCCACAGATGTCCTCTACAGGTGAGTGGGAGGGTCTGGTGCTTAAGTGCAATTTTACTGCCAGTGGGCCAAAGCATCACTCACAGAAGCAGTTTAGGAGACAAAAAAGGAAATGTGTCTCTCACAATATTTAGTTTAAGCCAAAACAGTATGCCCAGTTTAGTTAGTATCCTTATTAATCATAATTTAGATATTCCTGAAGAACCAAGATATGCCAGTATGGTAAATAAGCTCATTTCAAAATTTTAGCCAGGCGTGGTGGCACACACCTGTAATCTCAGTACTCAGGAGGCTGAGGCAGGAGGATCATAGCAAGTCTGAGACCAGCCTGGGCTGCAAAGTGAGCTCAAGGCCAGCCTGAACTGCAGAGCAAGACCCTGTCTCAAAAAGACAAAAAAAAAAAAAATTAGAACTGTAATATAAAAGAATATGACTAGTATCAATCACATGATTTAAGGTGCATCTGTGAATAAATGTGTAACAGTGTAACTTGCATATGGATCTGAATGTTGTGCATGTCACTATGTGTTTGTATTGTTTTACATATGTGTCTGTGTATAATGTATGTCAGTGATCTACCACGTGCTAGGCACTGCGCCAGCACTGGGGATGCACCATGTAGGAAATCTATCTTCACAGCACTTACACAGTAAGTTGTTTATCTTGCCAGCTAGTGGGAAGGATCAGTGTTAAAAATCTCTAATATATATATATACATATACTTATTTATCAACCAATCTTGGGGATTGAAGCTAGGGTTTTCATGCTGAGCTACATCCCAGCCATTTTATTTTTTATTTTGAGACAGGATCTCATTAATTTGCTAAGTTCCCAATGTAGGCTTAAACTTTCAATCCTCCTATCTCAGCCTCCCAGAGTGCTAGGATCACAGGTGTGCACCACCACACCTGGCTAGAACCTCCAACTTTTAACTGGTGTGGTGGGCAGAATAACGGCTAACCCAAAGATGTCCTTGTTCTAAACTCTGGAACCTGTGAATTTGACATTTGGCCAGGGAGAATAAGGTTGCAGATAGATTAAGGTTGCTGATTAGTCTTAAAGAGACCGCCGTGGATTTTCTGGGTGGGCCCAATGTTATCATAAGGTTCCTTAACAGATAGAAGAGGGGGACAGAAGAGTCAGTGTCAGAGTCCAGGCATAGAACATAGAAAAGGCAAAGCAATGGATTCTCCCCTTGAGCCTCCGAAGGAACACAGTTCTGCCAATACCTTGACTTTAGCTCCATGACACCACTTAGTGGTCTGACTTCCTGTAAGCGGTAACATAATAAAATCTGTGTTGTTTAAAGCCATCAAGTCTGTGGTGATTTGTTGCAGCAGCAACAGGAAACAAATTCACCAGTGACAACTGGGTTCATGTCTGTAACAGGCTCCCCCCATGTTCTAGCTCTGGACCACAGCGCCACTTAAAGGTAGGGTGGTGTCATGGTTTGGTGCTTATTTTGCAAGGGGAACAATACAATATAGGACACATATTTTATAAGATTATCTGTAATAGTCACCCAAACAATCACATACAAGAGAGTGCAGGAAATCTGTCCACACACTACAGACCAAGAATCCAGGTGAGGGCCTGGATCCTGAGATCATGTCCTGCATGAGTGCAGCTGAAGACCTAGAGCCCCTAACAATGTCTCCCACGAATCTAACTGGAGTCCCAGCGCCCATGACAACGTCTCATGCAGGCCTGTTTCACGGATCTGCGCTGGGAAGGCCCAAAGGTCAATGGTGCAATCTAGGAAGTCTGTGCCAGTGGGATGAAGGATCTGTGCTAGCAGGCTGAGGGATATGCACTGGAGCCAGGAAGCAACATACAAAACCAGAGCTCCCCTGAAAAGTACCACAGCCATCCTCAGCAAGTGAGGTCCCGAGCTCCTCCGATGATGAGCAAAGCCAAGTTCCCATCAGGAAAGTCAGCATGACAAGCTCCTCCAGCAGAACCAACAGCTCCTTACAGCTTCTCTCAGCTTCTCTCAGCTTCCAACAGGCTTCCAGCAGCTTCTACCAGCCCCCAACAACCTAACTACTTCTTCTCCAGTTCTGCCTCTTACACTGCTGGCAACAGTCCTCAGGTGGGCCTCCCACACCCAGCACCACACTGACTCAGTTCAGCTGGGTGTTATAAGTTGACCACCAGCTGTCAGTCCACCACAGCTGGCGTTGCATTTCACATTGGGGCTGGGTTGAAAAGTCAGCAGCTAAGGAGGAAATCTAGAGTCTGAATACAGCTCAGAGACCAGGAGCCACCAAACCAGAGCAGCTCAACACTCCCCAAGGTGCCCTCCCCACAGGGCTTGCTCCCCAGGGGCCCAGCCAGCTAAGCTCCTCACATTACTCTGTTTTTCTCTCCCCCTAGGAGTACAATTAAGTTTGCATAAACTCAGAGAGCATATGCTGCAATCCATTGAAATTTCAGAATGATTGGGCCAGGGATATAGCTCAGCAGTACAAGCGCCTGCCTGGCAAGCACAAGGTCCTGGGTTCAATTCTGGGTACCCAAAAAAAAAAAAAAATCAGAATGGTTTTTATTTTCTGAGTTTGCTAATGAAAAAAAAAATCCAAAACCTATTGTGACTTGCTTTCTTTTACTGGAAAACATACTAACTGCACAGGGGAACGTGGAGAGGAATATGACCCACATTCCTTACACATAGCTCACCGCTGACAAATACTAGTGGTATTCTACATTTGATGATGATCTCTAAAAGTAAGTGAGATGTCACACGTGAAGTTGGAACCCAGTGTCCTGTCTGTACTTGTGGGTGACTTCCCTAGCCCCTGCTCGCTGGCAAGGGCAGCCCTGATTTTGTTATTTGTACCATTCCCATGCCTGCGCTTAACCTCTACTACCCAGACCTGTGTGCCCCTAAACCCTACAGTACGGATTCACATGCTCAGAGATGCTACATAAATATCACCCTTATAGACTTCCTTCCCCTATCCTGAGCTCCACATTAGCTTTCTGAGATGTATCCACACTGACGCCTTGTTTCCTCTTTCTAACTGATGAATGCTATTCCATTTTATGAAAACATCACAATTTGTTCATCCATTATTATAGTCCATAGGCACTTATGTTGTTTCCAATTTTTCTTTAATATGAACAAACCATGCAGGACCATTCTTGTACATTCCCTTTTTACAGTTCCTCCCAAGTATATATTCAGGAGGGAACTTGCAATGGCAAAGGTGTTTGGATTCGGCAGTCCTGGTTATTCCCCAATTGCTTTACACAGTAATCACCCTCACTTCCCACAGGTAGCGTATGTGAGTTTCCTTTAATCCACACCCTGAACAACACATATTGGTTTTGCCCATCTGATAGCTAGGGGTTTTGACCTTCTCAGGCCATGGTGGCACACATCAGCTCACTGATTTCCACAGGGGCCTTGGGCAGAGGTGGCACAGGTCTTATTTATGACCACCTGGCAGGAGGCCCTGAAGGCCAAGGCTGCAGTGATGAGCCTAGCACACCTGGTTGAAGCCACTGAGGAGCTGAAAAAAACCAGGATTCTTATAGCCTGGGCAGTCAACACACCATGGAGACCAGATGTGCAGTCAGAACATACCTACTATAGCACACCTGTAGAGAATAAAAGATATTCAAATAATTGATATGGTAAAGGGTCTCAGTCATTTGCTAGATTTTCCAGTCTGGCTGGAACTGGTGACTCTCTTGCCTCAGCCACCCAGAATGCTGGGAATTACAGGTGTGCACCACCACGCCCAACTTAGAGCTTTATATTTCATAAACATTTACATCAATTCCTTCTTTGTGTTTTCTGTTTTGTTTTGTTTTGTTGTCTCTTTGAGGTAGAGTTTTGCTATGCAATTCAGGCTGGCCCTAAGCTCTGAGAGATCCTCCTGTCTCAGCCTCCCCCAAGTGGTGGGATCACAGGCATGTGCCACCACGCCCCCCTCGATTCCTTCTTTGATCCTGACAACACTCGAAAGATTTGGATTGCTATCCTTCTCACTTTACAGGTGAGCAAAGTGAGGTCCGGGCTAAGCAGTGGAAGACTGTACCTTGCATCTCTGTCTTCTGCCCAAGCACTTGGAGATGGGCATCCAAGAGCCGGGGACCCTCAACATGGACTGCAGGGCCCATGCCATCTCAGGGCCTCCTGCCAAGCTCCCCTGGCAACAACGGTCACAGCACAGACTCGGCGCTTCCTCTCCTGGGGAGGCTCAGCCTCCGCTCTTGTACACCCGAGTCAAGTTGCAATAACAGGTTGGCACTGCCACCGACCTCTTCCCCTCTGGGCCCGGGTTCTCTCATCTGAACACGGGATGGCATCGCCCACCCCACAGCCACGTTGTGTACTCGGCTGAAGTGATGAACATACAGGCTCAAAGAGAACACCCAAGCACTGCGCTGACGGTGAGGACTGGCCTGTGGCTCCCGCTGCACCCCGGGAGTGGCGGGCCCGGGGGGGGAGGAAGACGCCATGGCAGGCACAGCCAGGAGCCAGTCACTGGTTCCGGAGGACAGCCCCTTTGCGAGGCCCAGCAGAGGGCAGCTCCTGGCGCCCAAAGGAGAAGCGGCGCAGCCGCGGCCAGTGCGGCGGGAGCACCCGCCGGGTCACCCGAAGGCCCCAGGAGCCCACAGCTTTCTTCCCGCCCTGGCTCCAAATGCAGGGGGATCACAGCCCACAGTGAGCTGACCAGGCCGTCCCCAAGGCACACACTATGGGTAGGAAACTGAGGAGAGGAAGTGAGAGACCAATCATATATCAGTGACCTATTCTCCATTTCCACCCGTCCCACAGGCCTCCGTCACAACTAGGGAGGCAGCTCAAGGTTTCTTGCTCTTAACACAAACCCTCATCATGAACTAGTTATCTAGCTCCAGTGATAAAAGAGAAAAAACACAGGATTACAAAGTAGTTGTTTGGATTGGTGGTACACACCTGTAACCCCAGCACTCCGAGAGGCTGAGGCAGGAGGATTTCAAGTTCAAGCCCTGTGTGGGCAACTTAGTGAGACTCTGTCTCAAATAAAAAATTTGGAAAGGGCTGGAGATGTAGTTCAGTGTGAAGGCCTTGGATGCAATGCCCAGCACCACAGACACACACACACACACACACACACACACACACACACACACAGGATGAGGTGGGGGAGGAAGGGGTGTTGAGTCTGCACTAACTCCTGCCTCTTTTTAGCCAGGTGAACTTGAACTTTGTGATCCTGTTTGTAAGCTTTGGAGACAGGGAGATAAAAACCCCTCTCCGGCCTGCCCCGCGCAGGGCAACAGCAAGTGAGGAAGCGCACGCGCAGAGCGCCACAGAAGTAGGAGCCACGTGTGGGTGCAGCCCTTCCTGCCTCGCAGGGCAGATGTGCGGCTGTGAAAGTGAACGTGTCCCTGGGTCAGGCGCAGATGTGGTGGGGAACCTGTTCACCAGTCATATCATGGGCAGTGTGGGGCTCAACCAGCTTCCCCAGAAACTAAACCTACAGCCATGGTCTCCTCTGCCAAGTCCCTGCTCTGATTGGTGAGACATCTAACCACGGGCGCTCACAGTCACTCGGGGCAGGAGGGGGTCATGGTCTTTAGTCATGGGTTCGAATGCCAGCCTGTCCCTTGCAACCTGAGTAACCTTGGGTAAGTCGTTTGCCCTCTCTGAGCCTCAGCTATAAAAACCAGAGGAACAATGCCTACTTTGTGCTGCTGGGAGGAGTGAGACCACACGTACTTGCCACATGATGTCTTCCAGAAATGGTGGCCGCAAGCTTCATCTCCAAGGCTTGTACTAAGTCCTCATCTGTGAAATGGGGACCACCACTGTTCCCTGGCAAGGCTGCCGTGCCAGCAAAACGAGACACTGTACAAAGAAGCATGAGATGAAGGCCCCAGGGCAGCCAAGGCCAACGTGGGTCTTATTCCCCAGGGACGCTCAGCGCCCTGGCGAGTGCCTGTCACGCTCCTGGTAGCACTCAGCAGACATCTGCAGAGTGAGTGAATGAAACGGACTCTCAAAACGGTGACTGTGGCCACTCTGATTTCTCTGAGCCACAGTTCCCTCACCTGTGAGGTAGGCCGATCAGTACTCCCCTGGAAGGGCGGCTGTGGAGATAAAGTGCCCACGGCCGATGGTCCCACGCTCTCTGACGTCGGGCGTGTCTGCGGGACCCCCCAGGCAGACACCACTCGAGGCAGCTGGGTAATAAGAGCAATGTTTACTGAGTGATACAGGACTGAGTACTGGGAAGGGTTTACAGGGATGGAAATGCACCCCACCCGCCCCGGCTACCCTGACACCCAGAGACTACGGTACTTAGGAGTTAACACAATGGCCATAACTGGAGAGTATCTGTCCGTAACAAACCATAGCATATTTATACTGTATCACATCAAGTGATTATAGAAATCCATATATATATTGCTTGTATAAAATCTTTTTTTTGTAAAAAATATTTAAAAAAAAAAGAAAGTATAAAAAACATGTGCAGTTGGAAGCCCTGCCAGGACAGCCAGTCTGTAAACATTCGGTGAGTGTGTGCTTTGGAAGGGCGCCCGCGCCTCAGTGCCCACAGCAAACTCCAGCAGGGCTGGCAAGGGTGCACCCAGCTGCCACCTCCTTGGCAGGGGCATCAGGGCCCCGCAGCAGCCCCCTGTCCAGCTTTACATCAGGTCAGGGCAGGGCTGGGGGCAGGAGGGTTGCAGTTCACGCTGAGTTCCATCCTCAGCTGCGTTTTGGTTGCAGCTCATGGCTTTTCCTGGCTGCTTGGTGGTCCCTCGGGTGAGTGCCCTGGTAGAGAGGCTGGCGGAGCATCCCAGGCTGCCTGGCTGGGCGTCTCTCTGCCCCCACGTCCTTCAAGCTGGGCTCCAGGCAGCACAGCCCCACTCATGGGTCAACTTTGGTCTCAGCCAAAGTTTGGTCTCTGGTCCCTCTGGGTTTCTCCAGCCCGCTCTTCCCCTTGGCTGGCTGATCTGAGTTTCACAAAAAAGCCTGCTGGATGCCAGCTGTGCTGAGCTTCACTGTATAGTTTTTCATGTACCAAGGAAGGGCCCTCTGGGAGCCAGTCCTCCTGCCTCTCCGTCTCTCCTCCTCCTCCTCCTCCTCCTCCTCCTCCTCGGACTCCTTCCAGCCCACAGTCACTTCTTCTCCAGCTGCTCCAGCAGTGGGTTGCCTTCAGACTCTGGCGTCTTGACGCTGTCGGTGCGGACGATGCAGGTGGGGCGGTGGCGGTTCAGCATGAGGATGAGCTGCTGCCGCTCCTGCTTCAGCTCCTCGATCTGGGTCTTCAGCTCGGCATTCATGAGCTCCAGCCGCTCAGACTCCTGCACACAAACACAGAGGCATGCTGTCAGCAGCCACACGACCACGAGTGCAGGGCACTCTGGGCTGGTAGCTGCACTGCCCACCCTGTTTCTGGCTGCCACATGCCCAGTAGAGATCAAGCCTCTGGGTTAGCTGTCTTTCTACAGCTGTCTTTCTACTGAGAGACACCAGCCTCTCAGTCACCATGGCCACCTAGCGGTTGCTCAAATATGCCAAATACTTGCTTGCCTCAGGGCCTTTGCACAAGGTGAGTGAAGAATGGAGGTGGGTGGATCTAGTGCAGGTCAACGGAGGGGCCGTGGAGGGTCTGAGATGGCTGACAGGTGGCAGCACGATGGCCAGCACTTTGATGTGTGATAATGTGAGGTAGGGATATTCTGGTCTGTGGGATCAGAGCCCAGTGTGGTCACGTGGCTCCTCCTAAAATATGTGCTCTCTGGCTATTAGTCTGTAATTATTTGAACAGTCTCTTCCACAACCCCTGTAAACCAGAAGTTTAGTCCACAGACAGGCATTTGACAGTCACCCTGCTGGTTCCAAAGTGAGGCTTGTAGGAGACCTTCAGGGAGATTTCCAGGGCACTACCAGCTCGTGAAGAGGCCCTAGGGAAGGGAGGAAGCTTGGTGATTGGATGGGGGTGATGGGAACAGGTGAGTGCAAGACCTAGGGTGTCAAACAGCAAAAGAGAAAAGCATCTGAAGGATGTTTCCTGGACTGTGTCTAAAAACTTTGGACTTAAAACTCTTCAGCTTGAGAATTGACATTTGTTCACGGGCCAGCAAAGTGTTAGGCCAGTGGTTCCCAACTGGGAGTGATTGTACCACCCAGACTGCAGACATTTCTGGCTGTCAGCACTGGGGGAGGGTGCTCCAGGCCAAGGGCAGGGGTGCTATAAACATGCTGCCATACCCAGCACAGCACGCACTACAATGAACCGGGCCAGAATGCCAGCAGTGCAGGAACGGTGCAACCCCGCTCAGCCAAAGGGCCAGGTATGGCTGCAACGCATGTGTGACAGCGGACAGCCTACAAGCCTATGAGCTTGCCCTGGGTTCCTGGCGCCCTGGGTGGGGCCCACACATCCCCCAACAGCCGGTTAGACTGAACTGGTCCACGTGTACATCTCCCTCCAAGGTGGCAGCGTGAGCTCGCAAGGAGCTCAGGACTGCCGAGGAAGGCAGGCCATGTAACCAGACACTCAGGGAAAACAGCCTTGAAAAAGGAAAACAATGCTCATAGGGAAAACATTAAAAACCAGCTATGGTGGTTTTTAGTTCAACAGGCTGAGACATGACTGGAAGCTGGCCTGGTACAGTTCTCAGAATTCCCAAAAAATCCATCTCAGAGAGCCAGGAGAGACCCCATGGGAAGCTATGACAGTCTGTGACCCTACAGTCCACAGCAGTTTGGTGCCAATTCTGGCCACCTGTTTGCTGGGCTTGGCGCGCCAGTGACCTTGGGAATGTCTCACTAGCTCTCTGACCACCCGTTCCCTCCAGCCCACAGGGTTAGCTGCATCTTCAAGGTCACCTGAACCTTTGTCTCCAGATGCTGTGGGACAATCCACCTATCCAGGAGTATTTGCTGAGGATCTGTTTGTACAACAAATGCTTGGGGAATCCACGGGCCACGAGGCCCTGGTGTGTCTCTTGTGATCCTTCTACCACCAGGAAAGAAGAAATCCATACACAACACAGAGCTTCCTGGAGAACTATCAGCCATGCAGGGCTTGGGAGGTCTTCAAAGTGGGTTATGCGTGGCCTGACCTTGGTCTTGAGAGACGAGCTGACTCTGGCTGGTAAGAAAGGTGGGGAAGGAGCTTCAGGTAGGGAGCCCTCAGTGAACTAGGCCACGGGCATGGGGAAGTATAGGTGAGTGGAGAAGCAGGGAAAGGGGCTGATGGCTCTGGAAAGCCATCCTATGGTAGCTTTAGGTTTAGAATCAAAGCCAGCACAAGTTTCTTAACTTCTCTGAGCCTCAGGTATCTTGTTTATAGAAAAAAGATGGTGAGCATGGTAATTAGATGAACTCACCTGAGAAAAGTATTTTGTAAATCAAAGGGTTAGAGAGGCTTAAGGGAGTTTTAACCTTTTGAGCAGGAGAACCCCAGGCTTTCTGGCTGGGCATCTCTCTGCTCAGTATGAAAAAGAGAAGGAAGATGTCTAGAAGGAAATGGGGGTCTTGGTGACTGCCTGGACTTGGACAATGAAAGAGACAGGGCGGAGAGCTAACTGGAGCCTGAACACAGCCTGAATACACTGTTTTGCAGAGCCATGGGCATGGCATGGGAAGAGTTTGGTTTTGGGTATAGAAAGTTTGAAGTTAAACGTAGACTTGTAAGAAGAAGCATTCAACACGCAGAATTTGATAGCACCACACATAGATCCAGCTCGGTGAAACTACCGCATGTCCAACCAAGCCTCCCTGGGGACATCAGTGTCACACAAGACCAGCAAGGTGTGGGGCAACTTGCCTCACACACAGCTATCACAGGGTCACAGTTATCTGTTGCTTATGGAGAATGTTAGAGAACATCGTGGGATTTCCTGAATTCTTCCCAGCTGTCACACTGTAACTAAGCTCTTTTTACTTTTATTGCTTTTGTCTTCAGAGAGTTTTTGATCAGGGCTATGTGTGTACTTATTGTGTAACTGTAAGTTGTGTTCAGGAGAATCTTTTTTTCAATCATGACTGTTGAGGCGGTTTGTGGTTTCATAACAGTAATTACCTGACTTTTTTCCCTAATGAGGGAAGATGGAAATGCGCTAGGATCGTCTACACGTTAGTTACGAAGTGAAGTGACTCTGTCTGAATTTTTTGTTTACTGTTTTGACTTCTGGTAGATATTTATTGCTCTAGAAAAATCAAACCCATTTGGTGTTTCAGGGTTTAATTAGAGCAAGTTAAGCTTCTGCCTTGTACACTATGGTCAGCAAAGTCAGCTGAAAAAGCTATCAGGTGAAAGGCGGAGTGTCTTGGTTTCATCCTGGCCATGAGACCGTGACCCAGCCAATTCCTGGCTCTGGGCCTCAGTTTCCTTTCAGAAAATAAGGTGATTGGTCCAAGAGACCTTAAGCACTAAGATTCTCTGTCTTTATATTGAAAAAAAGAAGAAAAAATTAAACTAAGGCACATAAAATAGAGTTCCACTACCTTTGTAAGAGTTGTGAAGGAGCCTGCATGACCTTCTGAGCCTGAGAGATGTCCAGATTAAAATTCTGGCTCTGCTGCCGGAGAGCCCTGCTACTGTGAATAAATCTAAATGTGCCGAGTCTGTGCTGGGTAGCAGGGCAAGCCCTGCGGGACCATCCAGCGCACAGTGGCTATGAAGAGCACAGGATGCTGCTGGGAGCACGAGCTGATACGATCGCTACCAAGCTCCAGAGAGCCTGTGTCCTGCACAGCAATGTGACGGGGCCAGCGCTGCAGAAGGGAGAAGGCTTGGCTGGTCAGGCAAGTGTCCTCACTGAGCTGCAGAAAGATTCCTGTGCAGATCTGAGTATCCAGGGGTCAGGGGAGAGAGGGTGCCTTTTTACATGTAACACAGACACACACATTTCCTCTCTCTCACTTGCTCATCCACACACGCAGAAACATAAACGAGCTGTGATTCAAACATATGGCAAATGTTTACATTTTAAAACAGTATTACAGTGAAAGACACATTGCCACTAATCTCTCTTGCTTCAAACACACCTGCTCCATCATTATCCCCTCTTGCTGAAGTAAGTCTAGAAGTCCTCTTTCATAGTGTTACGGTTGTGCTATTGTGGCTGCCTTGGTGTGCCGAACTGATTCGAAACCTTTACTCTTCTCGGTCATGCTGGCTTTGGAGAAGAGCCAGCAGTTGCAGTGTTGGTCTGGTGAATAAGGTGGATGAGGACCCACCATCATGTTCTTGCGAGCTTGCCTCTCCATTGGATGGCGCTCAGCAGCAGCATTTCATGGTGAAGACACTCATGAAAGAGCACTTCCAGAACTGCTGCAGAGAGTGGCAAGAATGATGGGAGAAGTGTTCAAAACAAGGAGGAGAATTTTGAGGAGTATTGATGGCAATTAGTATTTTACTTTAACAAATGTTGTTATTTATTTGTTTTGGGGGGTACCGGGAATTGAACTCAGGACCTCATGCTTGCCAGGCAGGCACTGAGCTGAAACCCCAGCCCCAATAAATGTTTTTAAATTCAAATATTCACCATGTACTTTGAGCACCTCTTGTATATATCCCTTTGTACCTTGAGTGGTGAAAATAGTTTCTGTATATTAAAAACTAAATTACGCTGGTCATGGTGCTTCACATCTATAATCCCAACTACTCAGCAGGCTGAGGCAAGAGGCTCACTAGTTCAAGCCCAGTCTGGGCAACTTAATGAGACTCTGTTTCAAGAATAAAAAGGGTTGGGGATATAGCTCAGTGGCACCGCATTTGCCTCGCACGTGTGAGGCCCTGGGTTCCATCTCCAGGACTGAAAGAGGAAGGAAGGGAAAAGAAAACGAACCCTTTGATAAGTGCCTCCCTCCCGAGTCCTTCCCATGGTGCTCTCTGACCACGCAAGTCATCATCCTAATGGGGATGCTCATGAGAGTGGCAGAACATCCACCAATCACGAGGTCAGGAGCAGGGTCAGAGCCAGACTGTCCTGGCAACCCAGCCCAGAGCTCACCCTACAGGCAAGGACCTGGGCCTACCTGCCTCTCCATCCTCCCACCAGTCCTGCAACCTGCAGCCCCATGGCCATTATTTTCGGCACCTTAAACACACCCTTCAACACCTCTTGCCTTTGCCTGTGCTGTGGCCGGGAGCCCCGACACCCTGTGTCCTCCATCTGTCACCACCTGCTCCTCTTCTCACCCAGCTGAAGCAGTCTTTCTCAGCCCAGACTAGCACACGACCCCTCGGGGCACTCAGCTTGCCCCCCAGAGCACTCAGCACACGTTTCTGCTCCTCACTTGCCACCTGCCAGCCCCTGCCAACACGGCCCACCTGTCCACGGTGCAGCAGGCACTCCCTGACCACTCGCTGCATGGAAAGACGGATCAGCAAATGGGCAAGTGAATCCTCCCCTTCCCCTGCAAGCAGTGTGACCTTGCGCAAGTAACTTGAGCTCTCTGAGCTACAGGTCAATCTCCAGAGCAGGAAAACTATTATCTACCTCATAGGAGTGTTATAGGGATTGAATGAGACATGTGAAATGCCCAGCACACAGTAGATGCTCAGCAAGAGTTGCTGGAATGCAGAGCAGTGAGTATCGCTCACTTGACACCAAGTGTCTATCACGCTAGTGCATTACGGGTGCGCTGGCGCCTTGGGAGGCCGGGGTCCAGTGTGAGGCCTCCCTATACCTCACCGTGCCCGAACAGGCCTGCCCACGGCAGGGACTTGATGATGGCAGAAATGAGCCAGGCGACACACTCCACCCATCTCAAAGGCTGTGGCTTAGAAACTTTGAAGCCTAGCAGCCCGGAGTTATACACCATCTCTTCCGGGGGCTCCCAGCTCCAGGACTGACGGTGACAACCACTTCCTGCTCCAGGTGCTCACTGCCTAGAGGTCCCCGTGCTGCCTGTACCTGTGGCCAGAACAGCTCTCTGCGTGTAGCAAGCACGAAGCGTCTCCCAGACCCACAGTGCCAGAGAACACCAAGGCCGGCCTTGTTTCTCCAGTTCCCACGAGCGGGCAATGGCTGCCCCTGCCTGAGCACACACCCCCACCCTGCCCAGTGTACCCGGCCCAGCAGTGACATTTAGTACATGCATAAAAACTTACTGAAGCACAATCAGTGAATGAAAGAATGAACGAACCAACCAACGAATGAACGAATTACAGCCAGTACAGAGGCACCGAGGCCAGGGACAAAGGCTCTGTGGTCAGTGCGGGTCTTAGTCTTACCACTTGGCTGCTGACAGACCGTCCAAGTCACTTAACCTCACTATGTCTTAGGGTCCTCATCTGTAGAGCAAATAATGAAGGTCCCTACCTCATATGTTTACTAAGCCAATACAATGAGACCAGATACACAGCATTTAGCATAGCACCTAGCTTTACAATTGCTGGCAACTGTGGTCAGTGATGGTGTCCTGGTAGAATAGCACCTGTAATGATATGTGGTTACTATTAGTATTTAGTGATGAACCAATGATGGGGCCGGGGTTTGGAGACTACTGGCCTGGACTAATCAGCTCTCTGGTCATGGTCCTCGCTGCCAGCTACCATTTTTGAGATGCAAGGAAGGTCTAAGAGACAAGACTCAGAGGAGAGAAGGAACAAATACCCTGCTCAGCACATTCCAAACAGAAAGGGCAAGTAGGGCCAGGAGGAAAAGGGGCCTCAACCCGTGGCTGACTCTACAGGCAAAGCTGACCTCCAATCCCTGGGGGCAGCAGCAAAGAGCTTATCTTGGGGTGGGGTGGGGTGCCAGGTGGGATACAGGGCCAGGTAAGCCACCTGCCACTAAGGGAGGGAGCTTTTCTCTGTACAAAGTAGCTGACCCCGGTGTCATGCTTATTTGCATGTTACCACCGGGATGCATGAGCACCGCCCTAGATAGCTATAGTGGCCACGGGAGCCAGTGTAGATAGTGCCAGTCCTGGTGCCAGTCCAATCAGCACCCAGCAGCGGGCACCTGGCTTCTCCCACCTTCTGTTCAGGTGCCTGTTTTGCCTGGGTTTAGAGAGAGGCTATCAGGTGCCAGAGGAGGGCAGGGGGCCCAGGCTGCATGGGCATCAATTCCACAGCGTCTGGCAGTGTCTCCTGGTGCAGAGGACACCTGTCCCACCCAAGGCCAGCAGGTCCCACCCCTCCTGGCCCGCATCCTGCTCACCCGCTGCAGAAACTCCGTGCGCTCCTTCTTCTTGTTCCGGCACCGGGCCGCCGCTACTTTGTTCTTCTCCCGGCGCCTTTTCCTTCGTTCCTCTTCCTCATCTAGCTGCAAGGGCACAGAGCCACTGGTCAGACATGGAGACAAGGACAGAAAGGGGACGGTTCCCCTCCCCAACCCACATCTCAGCAGCCAGTGATTGCCCACAGCGGCCATCCTGCTGCCTGCAGAGAGGCTCTTCTCCAAGTGGATGGGCATCATGAGCAAGAACCAGTGTCCCACAAGGGCAGGGCTACCTGGTTCTGCCACAGTTCAGGGAGCCGGGAACCTCCCCTCCCAGGAGGTGGCAAGGGCGGGGTGGCCTGTTCTTCTGCTCAGCAAGTCCTCTGGGCATGATTTTCCGGGCCAGCAGTTCCTCGGCACTTCCTTTAAAAATGTCTAGGGCACAGACACAAGTTTCCCGTTCTAGCCCCACCCTTACATCCCTCAGAGCACCTCCACCCTCTCCTCTTACCCTCTGCTGGGATTTTAAGCCCTCACTGCTTGAAACCTATTTCCTCAGGCTGCCAACAGTCTCCCAGCTATTTTGCCTATGACCTCCTTCCCTGCCTCTGATTACTCGCCCACCAAGATGCTAGCTGTGACAGTGCCGGGGGACATGGGGACACAGCCCGGGGGCCTCCTGAGTCTCCAGGTGTGCTCCTCCCACAGGACATGAGGGCACTCACCATGCATGAAACAGGCCCAGAGACGGGGAGGTGGAAATCCAGTACCTACCACCAGCCCTGCCTTGGAATCCAAGTGGCAGCTGTTAGTGTTTTAATAACAGCTGGCATTCACTGCCCACTTTGGTAAATGCGTTAAACACATGCCATGTAACCCTCACAACCAAGTCTTATGAGGAAGCAGCTATTACGATCCCATTTTACAGATTGTGAGTCTACGGCTCAACAGCTCAGTCTATGTCCAAGGCCATATAACAAGGAAATGGTGAAGCCAGGATTTGAACTCTGGTTTCTCCACTTCCATCTCCTCGCACTTGATCGCTGGTTTCCAATGACACTAATGCATCAGGGTCACATCAGTGTGGTGCCTCTTGCTGTCCCTTACTTACCAGGAAAATCTGGAGACTACACAGAGCCAGCTGGGCTGTGGACAGCTCAGAGTCAAACGCCCCTCGAGAAGCTGTTGGATTGCCCTGGGCTTGCCAACTCCCACTTCTAGAGAGGAGCAGGGGATGGGGGGATAACTTGGGCAGCAAGGTCTCAGCTCCAAGGGCTGCAGGCCAGGAAAATAAGCAACCTCTCTCCATGCACTCCCAGCATGCTCTAGGAGCTCAGGACAGAGCCTGGGCCAGAGAGCAGCAGAGGGCAATGGCCCAAGCCTGGCAGAGCAGCTTCTTCCTTCTCCACCACCTCTGGGCTCCTCCTGCCCCACACTTGCTCGAAGAGGCTGCCAGAGAGGTGCCTTGTGGACACCACCGCACCCGAGCACCTCCCAGCCCCCTGGCCTCCTTTGGAACAGAACCAGAAGTGACAGCTCCTCTGGCTGACTTGCATCTGGGAAAATAGAAACCTGGCTGAAAGCGATTCCGCCCAACCTCAGCCTCACCCCTCCGTGGGCCGAGGTCACAGTGACGCCAGGCAGGGGGAAGGAACTGAGGAAGTGGCTGGCAGCGCAATCTCCCCTTGGCCAAGAGGGTTTGCCCACAAACTGCCAAGTAAGGGTGCAGCCAGGCACTGCTGGGCTCACAGGGTTTCAAGCGTCCCTCTGAGCAGCCCCTGGGTCCCTCTGTCCCCTGTACCTGGCTGCACCCCCAGCCCTGCACAGGACCTGATTCTAGAGTCAAGAGCAAGGGGAAGCTGCTTTGGCGGCAGATGCAGAGACCAGCGCTAGAAGGAAGTTGCCAGATCAGCTGAGCCAGCTTGACCCCGGGCCAGGGGGCGGGGCTGCTCCCCGGCCTCTGCAGTCCGCGCCTCCTGCCTCACCCTCCAGTCCAAATGCCTGGCACTTTTCCAGCCAGCCCTGCAGTCCCAGCCCAGCCAAGAGCACCTTCCGGTTCCACTTGGGAACCACTCCACCTTTAAGAGTAAACCCCACCTCCTCTGGGAAGGCTCCTCTGACTCCCCAGATGGAGCCAACTGCCTTCTGTAAGAGTCTATGGTTACTGGCCACTACCCTTGGGTACCCGGTCTGCTCACCTATTCTGGAGGACAGGCACCTAAGCATGGCACTCAGTGGGAGCTCAGTAAACCTTACCCCAATGAAAGAATGGAATAAAGGGTTCCAGAGAAAGATGCTGGGATTCTTTACCTGAAAGCCATTCACTGCCTGTGTTTGCATCTGTATAACCTTTCCTCCAGAAGCTCACAGCAGCCTTTTCTTCTAAGGACAGCCTTTTAGTCTGCAGAGGTCAGCAAAGCTTGGGGATTAGATGCACACTGGCTGAACGTAGGGTCTAGATTCAGGGGTACAGGCCCCTGATAGCCAGGACAGGTCACAAATATCAAGCAGGCCTGGACAGAATCCAGGGTGTGCCCTTAGGCCTAAAGCACCCGCTCCATAGCCATCACAGCTTCTGTACCCATCCCCAGACCTGTCCTGTAGCCATGCCCCGCTGGGCTAACAAGATGCAGCCCCGCCCCACCCCCTTGTCACACCTTCCCCATTAAAACTGGGCCAGGTGTCTGCGAAACCCTCCCACCGCTGGTTCCGAGCTGCCAGAGGAAATGTGGAAAACAGCTGTTGAGGCCCTACCAGAAATAAGTCAGGGGTTTGCAGGGCCCCCAGCCTCCTCCACCCCCCACAGCTACTCGAGCTCCTCTCGCCAACGCCTGTGCCATCATGCCCCTGACTGGGACCGCTGGGGGAACCTCCCTGCCCTCATCCAGACCCTTCTGGCATTCCCAGGGTGCAGGCTGCTGCCTGCTCCTTCCTGAGGCTTCCTGAACTCTCCAAGGCATTTGGTCAGAGTGGGTGAGAGACGGCAGAGCACCTACACCACACACCATGGGTGCAGAGATCTACAGTGGGGCAGAGCCCCAAGTGGGAGAGGATGCTGCTCCTCACGACGCAGCTGGAAGAACCAGTGTTGGAGAGGAGGCCACTTGACACTGAGACATTTGAAGAACGGTGAGATGGGAGCTGGTGTAGGGGGAGCATGCCTTTTTCTGTTCCCAAGCAGCTCTGGCTGCTTCTCCCAAATTCCCAGGAGTGCTCAGAGACAGTGATCTGTGTGTTGCTGGTGATGGGCGCCCCCATGCCATCCTTTGCACTAGGGACCTGCAACCAAGAGGACCCTCGTGTTGATCACTCCTCCTCATTAAGTGTTCTCAGGCCTCAACCCCTGGCCACAGGTGACTAAGCTGGGGTATATTCACCTTCCTGGAATTTTTTTTTAATTGCCACACGGTCTTGCTACATAGTGCAGGCTGGCCTTGAACTTACTTATGCAGCCCAGGCTGGCCTCAAACTCACTGTGATCCTCCTGCCTCAGCCTCCCGAGTGCTGGGATTATAGGCATGCGCCACCAGGCCCAGCATCCTTCTGGAATTTGAAACTGGACTGAAAGATGTTAAGTGCTGATAGCCAGGCATGGTGGCAAATGCATGTCATTCCAGCACTGGGTGGGCGGAGGGAGGGGGGACACGGCCTAAGGCAGGAAAATCGCAAGTGTGAGCCCAACTTGGGCAACTTAGTGAGACCCTGTCTCAAAAAAAAATACTGGATGGTGGGGGACACGCAGGGCCACCGCTTCACCCACGTGCCCAGAATCAGATAGATGAGGCTGCAGCAGTATAGCGATGAGGAGAGACCGATAAAAATGCTCAGCGGGAAGGCGTCAGCGAGACCAAGACAGGAAGGAAGCCAGGGCTGGACCAGGGAGACTGAGCGAGGTACACACCGAAGGGTGCCCTCCCGACTCGGGGGCTCCAGCAGCGCACCGTTGGCACCAGAGAACATGCGTCTCCTTATTGTCATGCCCGGACCCTTCATTTGCTCGCCCTGGCCCTGACCCTGGAAGAGACAAACACACATGCAGAACACAGAGAGAGGCAAAGACGGGTAGAGGGACGCTAAGGCAGAGAGGAAGAGCCACAGAGAAACATGGCGACATGGACAGAGGCCTGTGGCACAGCCACACGGCGGGACAGGCAGCAGACAGGCAGAAGGCACACACAGCAACCACCTCGGTCCTCTCGAGTCCACCGCTGGTGAGCCCTGTCTATGCTCCCTGTGCTTGGTATCCATGGTGCATACTCCTGGATCTGTCCTAAGACTTACTCCTTCGGCCTGCACTGAGTTTGAAGTTTCTGCCACTTGCCACCAAAGGATGCTCTGGTCACCAAAGCGCCACCCTTGTGAAGCCAGAAGATGCCAGGTGATAACGCAGAAGCGGAGGGTAGTCTCCACTGATCCTAGGGGGCATATCCTACCCAGCACCAATGTGTCTAGAGCATTCCAACCACTGGGAAATTGGCAGAGCCTGGATGCAGAGGGCCCCCTAAACACCAGCCACAAAAAGCAAACAACCCAGCAGGGAGTGGTGGGAAAATGAACACCTCCAAACCTCTCTCCTGCTGGTGCTGCCTCCACTGGCCAAGTTCAACCCAAAGCCAGAGTGCAAGGTGTGCTGGGTAGTGCAGTCCACTTGAAAGGATAGCTGGGGTCAACAGGAATGGATCGGATAGATGGATGAAAACACCCAGTGCATGGCTCTATCTATGTGGCCCTTACAAGCCCACTCACAGTCCTGCTCCCTGTCAGGGCTGGCAGGCAGGAAGCAGTGACAATAACAGCCAAGAAACAGGAACAGGGATCAAGGTCATGCCTAGAGCTAGTTTGTCCCTACACTTGCCAGGTGAGCACGGTCAAATACTTCAGCTCCTTGAGGTGTGGGGTGGTCTGCAGACAGCCCTGTCAGCCCAACCTGAGCACTTGTGAGAAAGCAGATCCTGACCCTCCCCAGGCCAAATGAAATGGAATCCATGTGTGGTCTAATTCCCAGGGTGACTTGTGCATAGAGGGAAGTCTGCTCTGGAGGCCATTAGAGGGCTGCCAGAGTTCTCCACAAACACATTCCTCCTCCGGTGATCCTTATTTGTAAA